CCATGGTGGCTTCTACAAAGATTTTGTTTCCATGGATTTAATACCATTTTCTTTGTTCACTGGTCAAAAATTCAATTTCCTTTAAAATAAACATTAGCAAGTTAATTTTAATGGCTTTTTGTTTATTTTACAACTCCATTATTTTCTGACATGTTTCACATGTTTGAAAACAAAAATGTTACTAGCTTTCCGTTTCAGCAGATGTATGGGAGCAGACAACAGACCTCAATCAATGTAATATTTTTTTAAAGAATGTAAATTAATTCGAAGGGGGTGGGAGAGGGCACATGTATTTGTAACATGCATTTTAAGATATTTTTACATTTACATTTATTTTTAATGGCGTTTATGCCCTCTAATGTCAGAAAACGTTATTGCAAGCTAGGTTCGTTTTTAATACTGACAATTTTTTCCTTAACTGTGTCTGTCAGTATCAGACAAAACTATTTGATCTTTGTGAAAATATGCATACTGGATTTATTTCTACTATATATGTCCTACAGTTTCACAGTTTTAGTGTAGAGGTCACCTGGGGGGGATGTTTCTATCCAAAGTAAGCTCTTCCAAATATGAATTTCTGATTTGTCAAACACAGTAATATTGCTAAATTACAATTTCTGTGATTACTTATTTTATCCTCCAAAATACACTTATTTTTATCTTGGAGAAAAAAAAAAAGATTACTCTTATGTTCAAACAAACAGAAGTTAAATAAGCAACATTGTTCCTCTCATTTCTTAAGATTGTTAAAGAAAAGACCTTCTCTGCTCACATTAAGGAAAAATAGCTAAAAAGTATGACTCATTTCAGTAATAATTCATACCTTTGACTTATGAAATATTCAATCTTAGAGCCATCAAAACCCAGTCTTCATTGGATTCAGGAATGAGATAAATAGCTGATGATGCCACAAATACAGCCTCTGTTGTCTGAGATTTCTTGAATTATGGGTATGATACATCACATATATTCCACTCATCTGTTAGAAAAGCAGTGTTGCTCCGGTAGGTGGGTGACCACAGGTAAACTCTGCAGTGGCAGTGCTTAGATTAAAGGTTGGGCATTCATAAACCCAAATATATTCGGGTTTCCCAAGATCCTACAACACCTCAGCCTTTTGTGTCTGATTCAGGCTCATTTCATGCCACCAAATCTGTCATGCAAAGTGCTAAATCATGCCCATGTTACTCAAACAGTACTCTGAAAGATCCAGTAATTGCAAAATGAAGGAATCCACTGGCTTCCTCTCTCGTCTTGCATTAAGGTGTCAAATATGCAGAAGTGGTCTGTCACCTCTTGAATGCAAACAAGTGAGACAAACACACATGCCTTTAAATCCATTCGTTCCTGAATGATGTCACTTGGTGAGTAGATAGATGTCCATGGACTGCAAGCAATAGCACGTCTGACCTGTCTGAACTATGTCTAGAGAAACCTAGGCATTAGTTTGATCATGTAGTTTCTGACTTGTGATTTGGTAAAACTTGATTGACACTTCTAGTTTGTCATAGCCTTTTCCCTTCCCTTTTGGCTAATGAAGTAGAATCCACCTGACTGATAACAGGGACCGGTACAACATTTCTTTTTCTTCAGTCATCCAGAGCATATATTATTGGGATGACATTTTTGACGTTACAAAATCAGATTGTCAGTACAAATCATAAATGCCCTAGGACTGACTTGAGCTTTGCCCACAATAATAGACATATGTGGAACAGACTATATACAAAACTATGCAAAGACTGCAACTAGGGAAAAAAGCATGTAGAGGAGAATATATTTGCATTTCCAGTCTGAAAAGCAGTGAAACAAGCAGGGTAGCACTAGATAAAACCTTGAAACTGTTCCCTTTTGAAGAGTGACTCTGAAAATTGCTTAATAAGACTCCATATTTGTTGTGTCTCCATGACTGAAAAAATCAGACTTTCTGCAGAGTTTTGAATTTGTTTTAGAGATCAAGTATAATTTTTCCACTTTGAAATACAAACACCAGAAGACTACCCTGCCATCTGAAAATGAAATTGTATTCTTTCTTAGTTTAGACTTTATAAGGAATAAAGCCACTGCAGGTGGGGTAAAGGAAGAAATTTTGCCTTCACTTTATGTCACCCACTTCCACTGGTAGCATTCAGTGATATGAGGTATAACTAACTGTAATGTAAAATCCAGGAGGAAGTTCATTAACAATTCTGAGCATGCCTACACAAGACTAAAATCTGTGTCACTGTCCAAAAGGAGAGCAAATATTTTTCTTGGCCTGTGCAGGAAAGCTAATTTCTTGGAAGTAATTTTTTCTGACCATAAATTTATTTCAACATCTCCAACACAGTGTTTATCAACATGAGAAAAACTAGTTATGTAAGAGTTATTAATGATGTGAAAGATATTATTAGCACTAAACAGTGGACAAGCAACATTACCTTTGGAAAATGTCACCGTATTACAACTTATTCAAGCTGAAGTAGAAAAATAATCAAAAGCAAGTTATTTTAAAATAAGCAGTATATCCATCTACCTGTCATTTTGCCCAGAAGGCAAGAAAAACACTGCATAATACCTTCATGTATCAAACAATCCTTATATTCTTACTTCACTCCATAGCACTGAAATACTGTAAAAAGGCATCTCCTTGAGTAGGTCCCCACATAAATACTGAAATGTTAGAGATGGATCAGCTAATAGTTCCTGTCACCACTACTAAAGCATCAGTCTGCACTTGGTTCACATAATTATAGTGTCACATTATCAACAGGATGAACTATATCCCTCAGCAACTTCAAACCAAATTAATTAGAGCCAGCAATGCCTCCTGTCCACAGCAGCCACAGGTGACAATATGAGCTTATGAAGGTTCAGAAAATAAGCATTTCAAGGCATCGAACTGGGATAGGCATCTAAATATAGATTTAGGAATCTAGTTTAAGAGATCTGTTCCAGTAGTGCTGCACTCACGTAAATTTTAGATTTCAAGATCTGGTTGTGTCAGGTGTGTGTAACTATATAGTGCCTTTTAAATAGTTTTCTGCTGATTCAATTTAAGAAAATACTTAGATTGTATCTAAAAGGCTGATGTATAACAATAACAAGTACTAAACCAGCAATGATTATCAGTGATTAGAGCCTAGGACGTCTCCCCTAAGCTCGCCACGCTGGCCCCATGCCCACCACTCTCCTCACCACTCTGCCTGAAAAAAAAAGTGTCGGGGACCCCATTTGTCAAAGGGACCTTGAAAGGTCATTTATCCACTTCTCTGCTCAAAGGGAAGACCTGGGCATGCATCACTTGTGACAGCTGATAGTCAGCTCTGGCTTTAGGAAGATAAGCACCAAAAATGCCTATGATGTGAGATGAGATGCAAATCTTTATGAGAAGGAAAGCATGATCTCTTTCTAGTATTTTTCCGGTTTTATGTATCTTGTCATTAAGATCAGCTATATTAATAATTTAGAAGAGGGATTCTATTACATTATGTATTTTATTCAATCTTGCATGTCACAAAATCAGAAACGGTCGCATTCAAATTCTGAGCAGGCGGGGGGGGTATTAGTAGAAATATTAATGTATTTTTTCCTGTGAATATTTACACTTGAGCATGCTTTGTAAAGCAAATAAACATTTATTTTACACAACATGATCTTTGTCAATAGTCTAAGACTTGATCATCTATATTATATCTGTCTGGATAACAACTTATTTGAATATTTATGTTAAACACCTTACTCTTATCTTACAAAAATTCTATCCATTCATCTTCACCTACAAAGTGATACATATCCTCTGACATATGCTGAGCTTTCATTACTAGAAGGTGTTCTCTAAGCCCATACAGATTCTCCATCATCTGATATCCTCATCCACTTATCCCCTCCTCATGATTAGGTGCAGGATTTGGACCATGTGACTTGAAGGCTGCTGTCATCTTCTTTATTATTTTTCCAATTCCTGCTAAGCAGACAGATTTTTTTCCATAGCACTTTCCAAACACTGCCCCTCCTGCAGTTTTGTTTCTAACCTTTTCTTGTGTTAACAGTTTGTAAATCCTTTGTAATAGGGAATGTGCTACCTCCCTACTCACAAGCATGCTAAACTCGCATGCCACAATCAGTGCTTAATAATGACTTAAAATCCAGCAAAGATAAAATCAGAATGGTACTTGAAAGTCATTTATCTCTTTATTAAATTCCATAGTATGTAATTAAATACTTACAGAACATGGCACTCTACAGAGTGTAAGGAGCTGATATCTCTTGATAAGCTGTCACTGGATTGCCCCTACATACTTCAGCAGCACTATGTTTTTACTTGCTAGGTCAAACACTACCCAGCATCACAAAGAAAGGTAGTAGCCCTAGTAATTCTGAGCACTGACAGGAATTACAGTTAGAATTTGTTTAGTTGTTTGCTTGGTGGGTTGAATTTTTCATGGTCACTTTTGTGACTTTTGTGACTGTAGATGGGACTTCTGGGGCTCAGCTAGTTCAGTCCCCCATTCAAAGGCAGCCTATCAACAACAGTAGGTTAGATCAGCCATGCTTTTGTCCGGCCAAGTGTTGAAAATCTCCAAAGATAGAAATTCCACAATCTCCTGGATAACCTGTACCAAAAATGTGCAACCGTCATAAGTGAAAGTAGTGTATCAACTTTAAGTGAAACAACAGATTATTCAGCTTGGTATCTAACTTACCAAATAGTGTCCCTATGATCTTGCCAATGGAAAGTGATGAGTTCTTCCAACAAATAAACAGAGTAAAGACTTAACTTCAACACTGATTTTCTTTCTTAGCAAGGTCTCTCACTCTCCATTGCAATAAAGGCAGCCTGGGAAGACTACAGCATGTAAAACATAGATATCCACAGTTTGATGATAGGATGCACAACACTGGGCATGCAGCAAGTATTATTTGCAAGAGAAGCAAAATCTATTTTTCAATTAATTAATCTTGAAATTCAATATTTAGAAGAGATTTTGTCTTTTTTTTTTTTTCTTTCTTTAATCCAGATATGGTGACATGGTGCCAAAGACAATAGCTGGCAAGATTTTTGGTTCAATATGCTCCCTGAGTGGGGTCTTGGTCATTGCTCTTCCAGTTCCTGTAATTGTCTCCAACTTCAGCCGTATCTACCACCAGAATCAACGAGCAGACAAGCGCAGGGCACAAAAGGTGAGCTCCTAATTTTTCCCCTTTCTGTTATTGAGCAATTGATAACATATGACTTTCTATATGTTGTGCATCCTCAAAGTATTTCTTAGCAAAAGGACTATTAATTATATATATGTGTGCCACACACCTAGCCAATGACATAGATGCAAATACAGTGTTACTTTTAGTAAAAACAAACAATCAGACAACAACAAAAAAAACACAACACAGTTCATTTATCATTTCTGTCAAAATTTACTGATTTATTGTTGTGGTAGTTCATCCTACTTGTTAGACCAGATCTGGTATTTTCAAGCAATCACTGCAGTCCCACCCACTGAAGATTCTTCTGTGTTTTTCAGGCAGACTTTTATCCACGAGCATCTTCTGAGAAAAATAAGAATAACTAAAAAGGAAAAAAAAAACTAATAATGATTTCTAACATCTCTCTTAGCAGCCTGCTCCACTAATCCATGTGTTTAATTCCTAGGTTCAGTCTCTGGGGAATCTGATTATTGGGGAACTTGTCTCCTCACGACCTACATTGCTTAAAAGGCTTCAGAAAAAAAAAAAATAAAAAGCTTAATCAGGAGAATCCGAAAGCAAAAATCTGGTTTTACAGCTTCCTTGATGTGCTGAGTCTCTCACTAAAGTATCAACTAGCTCTACAAGAAGACAGTCTCCCTCCCTGACCCATCTGGGCAAGGTCAGGAGTCAGGAAGAACTATTTACCAGAAGAGCTGCAGCCAAGCCTGGGCAATCAGCTTCCTCCTGGCATCATGTCCAGTGTACTAATACCAATCTACTTTGCTCAACCTTGCAATGCTAAGCATCTTAGAGAACTTCCACTGACACCTGGAGCTTTGACAAGGGAGCTGAGATGCATTACCTTCTGCTCCTCTGCTGATGGCCATTGAGACAAGTGGTTGCAACACAGGTTGCAAGATTGCCAAAGCTAAGGTGTCACCACTTGAGCTTTTTGTGGTCCCATGGCCTCTAATCAGGGGTTCTGAGCCTCCAGAGACCCAAGGAGAGCAGGATCATTACCCACAGAGGTGTGCAGGCAGGCTATTGCTGGAGACTACATACATAGACCAGGAAACACAGCCAGCTGCAGGCTGTATCTACCTTATACAGGCAAAAACACCAGATTTAAAGATACAAAATTTTTTGTTTCTTTCTGAACACCTTTTTGACTGTTTTCTTCATAAAAATGAAGTGAAATAAATGTATGCAGTCATACAATTCCCAGGATATCTTAAGGAGAAACAGAGGTACATGGCCAAGTCAGACATCACCTCAGGATGAAAATATTGCACTGTTTAATGGCAGTATCTTGGAAGAATGCTGTCAGATGAGGAAAATGGCCATAAAAGAAACCAGGTATATCACAGAAATGTCATACCTTTCCAGAAACCAGATTTCAAATATAGGCTGCTTCAGTGAACCAAATACCATACCTTACCTATCTATTAATTCCGCCCACCCTTTCGCATGCTGTTTTGTCCCACATGCTAGTTCTAGCTGTGCATTCCCCTCTCTCACAGCTGGGACATGGAGGGACACGTCACTTCTACACTGTATTGTTTCTGTCAAGAACTTTTCCACTTCTGTTTGTGTAATGTCAGCAGACAAAGAACAGTATACCTCAGCCAAAACACTTCATTACTGTGCCTCCGAGCATTGCACCAGTCATGGGTAACATATCTGCTTGATCTCAGCAATCAATGTGCCTGTTTTAAGCTTTCATAATAACTGCAGACACAACCAGCCTTACTTCAGATAGAAACTGTCTCCTATTGCATGTCAAGAAACAGAACTTTTTATGCCTGTTTTACACTTGCTGATGAGAAAGAGACAGACACTAGAAAATACCTTGCTTGCAATAATTAGATTGGCAGACTGGCTGTTATTCCCCATAATCTGTTCCTGAATAGAAACTGCTTGAGTTAATAACTGACTTTTTCTCCTTCCTAAACAGTGAACTCATTGTATGTTTCAAACAGGAGTATGAAATGACAAATGGCAGTCTTGCCAAGTGTTTTTTCTCTGCTCCCCAAAACAATGCCGACAATAACAATAAGAGATTTCCTCTGACTGTGTTTATGCCCTTCTTGCTTTAGAGAAAATGGCTTTGAGGTCTGATTAACTTAGCACTGGATGTGTGTTTCATTTATATCTCCTATTGCAAAGCCGATATCTGTTTATCTAAAATGACTGAGATGTTGAACTGAATATTGCTCTGAGAGACTGAAAAAAATCAACAAAAGGGACTTCTTGGGTACTGTATTGTCCATACTTAGCAATATTCAGCTATGAAATATAGCCTTGCATTTCACAGAAGGGTTCTATTGCATTGTATAAGAATATTCAAGCAAAAAAGTCACGTTATTAAAGTTTGAAATTCCTTCTTCATTCAATACAGTAGAAGCTTCTCGCAGCTTTCTGAAATAAGTATTCCCCTAGGCATAAACCTTATTCATACTCTCTAAGGCTGAAGAACATAAGCTTGAAAGAAGGTGCTGTTTCATGGAGCAGAGCATGAACCCCTGCAGGCAGTGGTACCTCCTGCTGGCTACAACAGCTTCCATCTGATTGTGGGAGCTGTGTATTTGAATTGTGTAACTTACATTATCAGTATCTCATACAAAAGTTTAATCAAGATAGTCTTCTGAAATGGCAAAACATTTGGTCTGTAAGGAAATTCAAGAGCAAGTTCTCTGCTGAAGTTGAAATCTAGTATGGGAGCAGTGGCAATTTTCTGTAGAAAAAGAATTTGCCACTTACGTTAGGTTTGTTCAAGAGCCATGTGACCATTAGCATATGCATTTACTGAGTTCTGCGCAGTCATTCAAGATTAGATGATTCCATTTGTTTCTTTTTGGCCAAAAGATGCTATACGTTAAGGCTCAGGAGAAGACAGAAGAAGAAATGTATATATAGACCTTCTCATTTTGAATGCATTTTAAAGGAGGATCCTACTTCCAACCATGGAATATATTGTAATTACCTTGAAATCCCATTTTGTAATGGAGCCAGTAGGTCATCAGGAGAGGCCAGACTTCCACTGCACTATGGTAACTCACCGGCAATCAACCAAAAAGAAGAGGTGAAAATAAAAAGTAAAGAAAATTCATCTGTGCTTATCAGAACATTTTCTTCTACCAGATAATAAGGTCCAAGGATCTGACATACCCTGACAATTGCAATTCAGGGCAGAACTAATTATGCCCTGTAGTCTTACTGTGACTTCTCCTCAAGCACATTTATCACTACTGAGACAGTTTTGAAAAATCCTATTTGTGAAGCTTTTCTCAGCTATAGACAATTTCAAGAGGCCAAGTTATTTTGGTTGCCCATCAGTGCCTTCAGGTTGCAAAGTTAATGACAGATGTGTTGCAACTGGTCCATGTATAAAGGAAAGGACAGAAAAGGAAAAAGAGAAGTTTAGGTAAGCTAAGCTTGGATACAATTTCCTATTCAATATTTGATGGGTATCAAGGGTTAAGATATGGCTAGACCCTCACAGTGCCATATTCACTGAGATGACTACCAAAACAGGGAAGGGAAAGGAGGAGACACAGCTACCCTCTTGGAACCAATGTCTGGACACCCAATGGCAGCTTGGCTGCAAATCTCCATCCTATGTACTGCTGCAGCTCTTATGATGACAATGTCTGCCTTACCCTGAATGAAGCAGTCTTTGCTAGATGCCATACCTGTTTTCCATACATCTATTTTTCTGCATATTTTGAAGGCAAGAGGCTTGTATCTGCTTAGCCATCAAGTCCTAAGTGTGAGTCCATCTGCCCACTATTGTTAATTATCTGATAACTGAAGAAGCCTTAATTTAGTTACCCAAGCACTTTATCCAAGAGTGACTTTTCATGGTGCCCCAACAGAAACCCAAACTGTCATCAGCTCCAAACCCTGACTGAATACATAAAACTCAACCTGAATCTTTCATGTGAGTATGGTCTTCTATCTTCACATAGCAAAATCCATCCTAAAGATTGGCTTGGCTTTATTATTTATTGATTTTACATGATGTATTTATCTGTCAATTTATGAAAAATTACTTACTAGATAAATATAAACAGCCATTGGATAAACTGCAACAACTGTTTAACAGCACCTGGCAGTCTAGAGCTGAGTGTTTGTAGTAGGCAGCCCTGCTACTTATCATGACTTCTTTAGATGAAATAGGCTGTCAAACTCAATGGGGTTGCTAAGACATAACTAACAGAACAACTTACCCAGGATTTTTGAATTTAGCACAAAAACATGTAAAGCTTGTGTTTACTGAACAATAATTTGAATAGGTTGAGAAAGCAAGGAACAACTCAACAAATATATGAACCTTATTTAAGTCCTTACCCATTAATGTACAAAGTAAACATCACTTCCTTCTCTGCTACATGCTGACATCCTATAAATTATTGTCAGCTAATATGAAGTCAACTATTTGCAATTACTAAAAATCAGAAGATCAGAGCGTGAAATCTGAGCTTGAATTTTCACTTGAAAACAAACATACAGGATGGGTTTTTGAAAGGCCAAACAAAACGTGGTACGAACAATGTAACTTGATATCTGGACAATTCTGTCACCCAGCCACTTGTTCACTCCTCCCCAGTAGGATAGGGGGAGACTCAGAAGGATAAATGTGCAAAAATTCATAGGTGTCAATAAAAACAGTTTAACAATTTTTTGAAGTGGGGAGGGGTAAGGCCTGAGGGGGGGACGGGGGACAGCAATGGAGAAAGAGGACAAGAAAAAAAAGGATGTGAGAAAAACCCAATTGCTCACCACCAACCGACTGATGCTCAGCCTGTCCCAGAGCAGGGGCAGCCCCTGCCAACCTCCATCCCCGTTCAGTTTTATTGCTAAGCATGACATCATATGGTATGGAATATCCCTCTGGTCATCTGGGGTCAGCTTTCCTGGCTATGTCCTCCCCAACTTCTTGTGCACTCTCAACCTGCTCAGCAGGACACTCTGAGGAGCAGAAAAGGCCTCATTGCTGTCTAAGTACTGCTCAGAGGTAGCCAAAATACCCCATGTTACCAACACTGTTCTAATCACAAATCCAAAACGTAGTTCCATAGGGCTGGCAAACCTGCCCTATGAGGAAAGACTGAAGGAGTTAGGTCTTTTCTCCCTGGAGAAGGCTCAGTGGAGACTTCATCACAGTATTCCATTACTTGAAGGGGGAGTACAAAGAGGATGAAGACTTTCTTCACAAGGAGGCACATGAAGAAGACAAGGAGCACTAGGTAAGAGTTGCACAAGGAGAGGTTTCATCTGACATAAGAACAATTATTCATTGAAACAACATCCTCAGTGACGTGGTACAGACCCCCTTGCAGAAGGTTTTCAAGATGTGATTAGATGGGGTGCTAGAGAATCTTATTTAGCCTCCATTTCTCACAAAAGGTTGGACCAGATGATCTTTCAAGGTTCCTTACAACCTGTGCTGGTCTATGATTGATTCTATACCAGCTACTATGAGGAAAATTAACTCAGTTCCAACAAAAACCAGTACACACAGAATGACTGCGAAGGAATTCTTATATTTTAATTCTACAAGATCATTAGAAACTAATAATCATAAGGTAAGTAATTAGCAGGTTTTCAGTTGTAATAGTAAGATAGTTATGTAGTCTAGAGAGCAGCAGAAGAGTGACAGCAGGAACTATCTAAGTACTAAATTACTAGGCTACCGAGGCTTCTTGCATAGCAAATTGAAGACATGCTCTTGCCAAAAATGATTCACAGTACTGCACTAAGCCCTGCCTTAAAGTATTCCTGATAAAATCTCTCTCTTAAAACAGCTGGACAGCTGAGGGCATCTGGAGTGTTAAAAGCTGAATGTTGTAAATACCCTACAGTGCTACTTTTAGCACTTTATTAAAAGCTTGTGAAATTAAATGTTTATATTTCTAAAATTGACAGAGCTAGCTTTTGTTGAATAACAGTGAATTCCCTTTGTAAGGTTTCTGTAAGCACAGCCGCAGACAAGGATCCACCTCTAAGTTGTAAGATTTGAAGCTATGAAAAAAAAGCAATTAATTCAAAAGAGAAATTCAGTGCAAATACAAAAGAATCTGAACTTCAGTTTCTTCAGGAGGTTTCAGACAAGATTATTATGGTGGAATTTCATCAGAATAAATAAAAAAACTGGATTTCATCTACATTGTTTTTGTCCTGGACAACATAAAAATTGCCAAAATCAGAGTCACATTCAATGGATAACGGAAAATCTCACAGCAGTTTGCAGACTAAAGGTAAAAGCAGTTGTTCTGTAATCACAGTTTTCCCTATGCCATCACATCATTTTAGTGTCCTTCATGAGAATTCAATCCCCAGCACACAGCCCTTAAAATCCTGTTCTTGATGTGAGCTTCTACTGATTCCTCGATCGGAATGTGACGAGTCACTAGATTGCTCATGCTGCAGGCTCCAATATAAATCAGGTAGAAGCACTGAAAAGAAATCTTATCACCTTAACAGATTTGTAAACATCTCCGGTTTCAGGAGAATTTTCTGTAAGCCGAAGTATAAGCATGGAAGCCACAGTATCTGGTTCCTGTCTTGGTAATAGATTTATTTTCTTTTTTTTGGTAAGTGATGTAAATTCAGGCCATATGAATGAGCCTCAGCTAGAAAGATGTAAGCTCTTACTACTCACCTCGCAAAAGCTTTTTAAGATGCAATAAATTCATATTTGCAAAGCAATTTGAAAACTTCACATGGGAATTACAGCCTTCGTATTGTATGTGTTGTAGCACATTGATAAGATAGTCTGATGAACTGTTATATTTTTTATATATCTTTATTAATTGGTGCTGCACCATAATTATTGCTTCAGTCACTGCAAGAGAAAATGAATATGCATGCTAAAAGGAAAAGCATAACTAATGTCTGTTCATTAAGTCTAATAAATCTCCCTGTATGAAAAGCACACTGAAGAGTACCATAGCTAAAACTTTTGTGACCAAAATCACTTATTTATGGGACTCCATATTGCAGCCTGCAAAGGCACGTCTAAAGTGTCTCAAGATCCTAAGGCTAAACAGTATTACTAAGACCTTTAATTTATTTATGAACATAACCCAGTGCACACATCCCAACCCATAAATGCTCTGTGGCATAGGTAAAGCTCTTCCCCCGCCTTCATCTCATCGCACAGGTGTTGCATCTCAAGAGCTCCATCTTGAAAAGAACCTATTTTCTACCTGCCCAAGGGGATTTTTAATTGCTAGGCTTGAGGACTCAGCCCTATCCACATTGGTAGCCCTGGATGTGCCACTAAGGAGCCTGTGTGAGCCTGAGGGTGGGAGTGTTGCACTCTTGGGTGGCTCACCACAGCACACTGGGCTGTCCAGGGCTGGTCTGTTATGGTGCTCAGTGAAAGACGGGACATTTACCCTCCAGGCCGGCCCCTGGGAACCTGCTCAGGGTTTGGAGCGTGGGGCTGCAGATGTCCTTCCAGTGCTAACAGGAGGAAGGGGAAAGCAGGAATTGACCTGTGCAGAAGCACTGTGCAGGTGATTGGGGCACTTGGCTCCTTACCACTAGTGTAATTAATGCATTAACTGCATTGCTAGCAAGGCTGTGCGCACCGAGTAAGGTGACAAACCAATATGCTATTCTAAAATAGACAACATATCACAGAATCAGGCAACAGCCTCTCACATGAGCTTTTTAACTCAGTGATGCACACATGCACAGCATTATCTTATTTTCTTTCAGAATAGTTAAAAGCTAATAAATACGTTACATATAACACCAGCCAGATTCTAGCCATATTTGCTGTTAGCTGTCATGAATTCTTGGCTCGCTGTTGAGAAGATCTGTGAGTTTGAGGCTGTGGGTGCAAAGCAGCATGGTGTTGAGCTATTCCTTATAGACAGTTAATTATTTATCATGCTAGAGAGATCTGGCACTGCAGTGACCAGGCTGCTTTCCTATTCAGAGATTCTCAATCATTTCATGGTGATGTTTAATGCCTCAGAAACTGGGGCAAGAGGGGAAAATGCTTCCTCTATTTTATGAAAATATCAACTGAGTAATTATCTGGTATGAAAATCCCAATTAATATATCAAAGTCAGTTTTTTAAGTTCTTCACTATGTCTCCTTCTGTGCTTTAGCAGCCATTCAACTCCAAATGATGCTCAGCATTTGGCTTTCAGAATCAGAAACCTAACCATGAAGATAAACCCAGATTCTCTCTTAGACATGTAACCAGCCACAAAAATTACAGAATCAGGACACCATGCTAGAAAACCCACCAAAGCCTCCGATTTCCACATTACTGGACAAAAGAGTCTTTTCCTCATGTTCCCCCCTAATGTTGCTTTCTTGCTTTTGTACAGAAGTCACTGGATGCAAAGAGTCCTTCACTTATGAGCCACCTTCCACTTTGGAATGAAAGTCACCTTCATGAGCAATTAAGCTCACCTGAGAAATCTCAAATCTCTCTCAGCAATTTGATCCCTGCAGTGTCTGAAAAATCAGATTATGATAAATGATCACAAGTATTAAAGTCTGATTATACCAAGAGACATGAAGAGGTAAAAAGACAAAAGGTCTGGCAAGCATTTAGGACCTTAGCTGGGAGACAGCATAAAAAACACTACCGCCTCTGAGAAACTAGCTCACAGCAGTTGCAATATTATGGTTTTTGAACAATATACTCTCCTTTAAAGAAATTTTTACTGCAGGAGCAGCTGGGATGGATGCCCAAGTTCCTTACCCACAGGGCATAAGGAGTGCCACAGTTGCAGCAACGCAAACAAAAGGAGGCGCTTACATGTTTATCTGTCCAATCCCTTCTACAAAATCACTGTGCTTCTTAGCTGATGCATGCAAACAAATAAACCTTCTGTCATTTGCATTTTAAATGGGAAGACACTCATGCTTTGCTCCACCTGGGGGACAGATGCAATGCAGCCTTTCCGTCATTATGATACTGGCATTCATAAGCAGCTGATTCCAATTAGTGGTTTTAGATAAACAGAATAATGGATATGAGTACAAGTGACACTCTTCCTTTTGTCTGTTTACACAGAAAGCCAGACTTGCTCGAATTCGTGCGGCAAAGAGTGGGAGTGCTAATGCCTACATGCAGAGCAAACGAAATGGCTTACTGAGTAACCAGCTGCAGCAGGTAATGTTCCCATATCCTCCAGCTCCAGAATAACAGCTTAATGACAGCCCAGCAGTGGCTTATTCTATTTATCATCAGGGCAAGTCAGCTTGGGTCTTTTAGGCAATGTTCTATTTGGAGGTAAAGAAGTAGATAAATTGGACAATTACTATTGTTAAAGGAAGCTTATGAGAGTAGATGACAGAGTATGAAAAGATGAGGGAAATGGCCAGATAGACATGCTGGATACAAATGTAACCCACATTTTTAGAGTTAGGAGACCTCGTTAAGAAAGTAAAGAGCATTTGCGTCTTAGGAAGTAGGTTAGATTTATTTCATTTGGCTTTAGACAGGTAGATCATGGGCTGCAAAACCAGGCTTCATTGTTAGTGAGGGAAACAGGTAGCCCCGGGGTATTGTTAGCACAGAGGGATGTTGCAGATTAAAAAGCATTCCCTGGAAGCACCTATTTTGCTCTAAGGACAATCTTGATGATTGTATCAAATGCATTTCAATCCAGTGTTACCTGAAGAAGTTCCTCCCCCCTTATACCTACTGAGGAAGCCAGGACTGACCCCCAGGCAGCAGCTAGGACTGGGAACCACAGCAACCCACATGCTAGAGACAGCCCCTTGGCTGCCTGGAGCTGTACCCAGCTGAGAAAGACTGAAGACACAGAGCTTCTTAATCCCTGTCATTTTCTGGTATTCAGGCAATTCCCTGGGGCATACAGGAAGGCTTTCATTCCTCTGTGCCCTTACTGTTCAATATGTGTTAAAATGCCAAGCGCTTTAACCTACAGCCAGGAGGAAGTGGCTGTCCATCCGTCCCGTCTAGCATAAAAGATGAGCAGTCACAGCCCTTGTTTCCTCTGCCACTTGAAAGAACTCAAATCTTTGAACTAAAAAGACACCAAATAGTTCAATTGCCATGCAGATTTCAAATATCCTAAAGTTGAAAGTTGAACTGTAATCTTTCCTATTATCCCACTTCCTTCCCTATTCAGTTTTTTGCTTTCTAGTGAATAATTATGAAAGCAGTTAATAAACAGTTAATGATTTCAACTTAATTCTTTATACTTTGTCAGTAACATCTGCTATATGCTTTCCAAACTCAGCAGATTGGAATCAGTGACATGAATTTTTGTGTAAGCAGCAATACCACAAATTCTTTAGTGCTATGAAATGATCCCAGGAGGACAACTATGTTTAATTTCCTTCAAATGAGGCACATTCCCAGCGAAAAAAAAAAAAACAAATCAAAAGAAAAAAGGTCTACTGTCATTTAAATTTATGATAATTTTAAGCATGCGTTGATCCAATAGTCAAAGCTTACATGTTGACTGCATTTGTAAATCGTGTTCTTCCATCTATCCATAAAAGACCTAAGTTGAAAACATTTAAAAGGAGATGCAAGGACAGGAAAGAAAATACTTTGATTAAAAAACAAATAAGCAAAAGAGAACTCAGATTCAAAATAATTTGGGTTATATGGTGTAGATGAAGCATTGCAGTTATGTTACCGTGTTACAATCCAGATTAGTTCTGAACAAATATTTGGATAACAGCCCTCTTGTTCACAAATGAGAATAATACAGAGTTCTATGTATCAACAGTCCTCCAGTGAAGAAGAACAGGCCTTTGTTAGCAAATCTGGCTCTTCCTTTGAAACACAGCACCACCACCTGCTTCACTGCCTGGAAAAAACTACGGTAAGAAAAGAGATCTGTGTTTTCCTGTGAATTCCAATACCAGCCTAGTTTTGAATGTTTTCAATTATTTCTTCTAATTAATAAGCCTTTAGATGAAAGTAGTTAGCTGGGAAGAAAAGCCATTTTATCTTATTTTAAGGCATTATACAGACTGCATACAAACAAGAGAGATCCTGGATGAGAGCCTCATCTAGCATGAAAGATACTGACATCAGTGAGATGACATTAGTACAACCAAGCTGTATGTGTGACCCTCAGTATGGTTTTCATTCATTCCATAATGTTAGCATTTGCACTTTTCTGCAGCATAATTCATAAACCACAATTTGTAGTCCTTATACATTCAGTACTCAGTACAAATAAAGCAAGTTTTCTCCTGAGCCAGTGTTGGCCAGAGAGAGCTGCTGGGTGTTTCCTCTGATGTCAATGTGATTCCTGCCAAAGTTACTGTAAAAGAGGATCCCCCAGCAAGTTGTTTTGAAACTTCATGTGCTTAATCCAGATGCAGGTACAAAGCTTCAAAGCCTTTTAGCTTCAGTTTAGACATTGATATCCCTATAGAAATCACTGAAGTAATTCATAACAGCCCAAATATGCTCATCTGGATTTGAAACTCCCTATAAATAAAAAGGATTACTTATTATGTGCTCTTTATATATTTCCCTGGTCAATACCTGGAAAATTAGACAGCTATTAAGAACAGTAAACTTAGTAAACAGCCGAGTTATGATTCAGTAAGAGCTGCCATGTTTACTAAGAGTGTATTTCTGGGCAGATAGATAATGTCACAGCAATAACACTAATCATCTTGAATTTTGTGTTGTTTCCTCTTTATAATTTCCTACAGAACTAAGAGCATAAATTATTTATATTATTTATATTGAATTTAATCTTTGTAGATTTGGGAATCTCACATCGAGCATGCTAAAATTGTCTTCCTCTATTTTTATATTTTTGTGGTGGTTATATTGCCATGTAGAATTTACCTTGTATTGTAGGTAAGTTGGTCAACATCCATTAAGCCACCATGTACAAATTTACACCTAGTTTTATAAGTTTCAGTTGCATGTAGAAATTGTATGATTTCTCTTGAAGTTTTCTATACATAGTGGAACTTTATGCTATTTTGCCTTGTCTTTGTCATCTAGTTTTAGATTTTCATTAAAACACCTGGTAATGCCTCTGCTGTATTTGGTAGAGGTCACTGTGAAAGCCTTTCCACTCTTTGTCAGAAAGAAAAAAAATGAATAAATATGTTTTCCCACAATAGACATTGCTAAATTAAACTATGATGTATACATAATTTAATATTCTCCTTTCAACAGCATTTCTTTATAAATAAAATGGCCTAGTTGTTACATCACTTAGATAGTAATTTGTCATCTGACAGGTGCTTATGCCTCCTTCATTCTTCCTTTTTGAGTATTGATTTTTATATAATGTGCTGTAGGACAAACCGTCTTGCTTCCTATTCAGAGTATAATGTGGTTTCTTTGCCAAGATTCAGACTGGGTCCTTATGGAACATTTTTGAGACATTTTGTACTAGAACCTGATAATAGCAATCCATCTTAAAAATTGTTCCACAGTTGAACATTACTAACATATTTTAAAACCCTAGTAGCAGCCACAGGTCTTGTCAAATGCTCATAGAAATCATGAAAAAAATTGTATTCATTTGGTGGGAACTGAATTCGGCTGCCAATACATTTCCTCTAATCACAATGGTGGACTATGTGTAAGCCTTTTCTTTTTCTTCTTTTTTTTTGTTTAACAAAGGTTGGTTTGGTTTTTGTTTTATTTTATTTGGTTGGTTGGTTGCTTTGGTTTTGGTTTTTTTATGTTTTGGTTTTTTAATAAGTCTATAAAGCAAGTATTATCTTATTTCCTAAATTTGCATGGAGTCTACTTTCTTTTTTTCTTGTTTGTTGGGTCCTGCTACTGGCAGTGAGTTAATATGGCACATGAACACAAAAATATACATGCACGGGTTCCAAGTTGTATTCTGCAGATCATGCATTCCTCAGATTTAAGTAGGAACTTGAGATTTTGGGGCCTCAACTTGTGGAATCTGGCAAATTGCTGGTTCATAGTGTAACAGCAAGGGTGAGGTGCATTCTTAGCCTCTCATCAGCCTTTGAAATATGTGATTTACACGTCAGTGCAGATGATACTAAGCAAAGGCATATTTTCTCTTTTCTGTCACTTTCAAGTCAATAGAGTAAGATCTCTTCCACTTAAGAAAGACAGAGTGAGTAATGTTATGGGATTCTGTGAAAATTACATTAATAATGAAAATAATTGCACTGTAAGTTATATTTTACAGGCTACTTTTAGCTAATTAAAGAACAGTTAATTAATAAGTATAATCAAATCTATTAACTTGAGCCATTATATCATTTCAAAATGTTTCCAATCTCTATTAAAAGTTCACTCAATAAACCTCTTTAATGGACCCTACAAATTGAATTCTTGTTGGTTGCTCTATAAAAGTTTTAGGAAGCACAAAATTACTTTTAATCAGAAAACTAGCAGAGTTCTTGGCAAACATACTGCAAGCCACTAAATGTAATCTAAAGCGTGTGATTAGGTAATTTTTCTCTCTGAATTTTATGTCCACTGTGCAAGCACATTCAAAAACTTGATTGTGACTGGCATATACCTTACAGAAGTCAATATGCAAGCAAGTTCTTTCTTTCCACTTGAAATTGGCATTCTTCAACACCACTCACTTCCACACAGACTGAAGAACAGAAGAAATGGAAATAATAATATGCCTATAAAGGTATTTGCATTTGTTGCAAACACTTGGCCATAGTTGTTACCCAATTTATTTTGTTCACATATTTTATATTAGCACTATACTGTAATACTCCCCAGAACACATCAGCACCTTTCCAATTAGTGCATCATTCTTCAGGGGAAAACAAAAACACAGCAAGCTAACAAATTCAAAGTGAATGAGACTGAGTGTACAACAATCCAGACCATGCTCCTTAAGCCATTCTCTCAAACCATTCCCAGGATATGCAGACTGATTCCAGCAGTAAATGGAAAGATTTATTTTTTTAAAAGGAGGCTTTCCCAAACTGCACATGAATGTATCTTATCCTCTGCTTAGTTTGGGCTGCTACTTTAAAATGACTGTAAAAATTCCTTTCCCCTTTCTCCCCGCCACTATAAGCAACACCACCATTTCACACTCTTTTGCACATAAAGCAAATGTAGAAATCATGGCTGTGTGAAGCGCTCCCTTATCACCTACTGAGCCAATGTAAACTGGCCATTTGTGTGAATATGGATTCAGCTCTGTGACAACCCTATAAAACAACTGTCTATACTGAGATTAAGAAAAGATTGCATGAAGTACTTCATTTAACTAAATGTTCAGTCTTCTAAACTGCTTTCAATACATCCATCTCCTGTAATTAGGAACTTTTGGATGCTTTTAAATAACCATCTTATCTTCCCTAATCAAAACTTCTATTTCATGAATCTTTTTCTTTTACATAGCTGCATACCTCAAACCACACTACTTCATATCGTGGTTTCTAACATGTAATTCAAAAGGAAGCTTTATAAATTCATTGGACAATATTTATGGATTTTATTGTATTACAATTCAATATAATAAATCTTATTTACTTCCAAATGACATCTAGAGCATTTACATAAGCACCGCTTGCATTTTTATTAATAAACATAATCCTCTATTTTATGGCATTTCATAGATTATACAGATATTTATCATGCAAGCTACATTACAATCACATGCTATTTTACAAAGTAATTTGGATTTTCTTATTTAGGGCTCTAAGAGTTTTGTTCCAGCGTTTACATTTGTATTGATATTCATCCCAGGCTAATACAAGCTAAATACTATAATCAAGAATAAGCTGTCTAACTTCCCAGTTTATTGGGTTGTGTAAATTTAAGTAAGTCTTTAAACAATCATGATTAATATGTTCACTTTAATTATCTTTCTGTGTGTTCTTTGTCCCTTGCTTGGATTCCTCTGGGCTAGAACCACGAGTTCGTGGATGAGCAAGTCTATGAAGAGAGCTGTATGGAGGTTTCTACAGTCAACAGACCCCCAAGCCACAGCCCCTCTCTCTCATCTCAACAAGGTGTTACCAGCACTTGCTGCTCGCGAAGACACAAAAAGACTTACCACATTCCAAACACGAACATCAGTGGCAGCCGCCCAGGCAGCGTACAAGAGCTCAGCACCATCCAGATCAGATGTGTGGAGAGGACGCCTCTTTCTAACAGGTAACTTCACCTGCATCAACACACAGAGGGCTGAAGCCCCTTTCTTCATGAGAGAAGGGATGTAGAGGTGGTGTGGCCTCCATAGGCAGGCTGTGATGCTAAAGGTGAAAGTCAAATACTCATCCAAAAATGGATATTAGGACTGAAACATCCTGCACTCAGTTTGCTCCAACCCCTCCCCACAAACTACCATGTACTATTTGCAGCAAGTAACATCCAGTTACCTCAAATGAAATAGAGCATCAAATGTTATATGCCATGGAAAAAATTTAGAACAGAAAAATGATTCAGATACACAAGATGAGCAAGTGGGAAGAGAAAGAAAGGTCTGTTTCTGCTGTTTCTACTGTTTTGGTTTGGAAGCATAGGACAAGTGAGACTTCCTCACAATTCCACAGAGGAGAGAAATAAAACTGATTTCCAGAGTCATGAGTATAATAGTCATAAGAAAGACTCTTCTAAATAAAAAAAAAAAAAATAAAAATATGTATTTCCTACTTTGAGGAGTTATTACAAAAGTGAGGAAAGTGCAGGTGGAGTTTGTAATTTACTGAATGTCTCTGTACTCTCGTGAATAAACCATTTGGTTTTCAGATACATCCAAACTCCACCTCTGAAAACACAGCAAGGGGCTGAGGAGACCCAAAAGTGTTTTCTAGTGAACTGAAACATGCCACCATTTAAAGAAGCATTTTCAGCCCTAGTTGCCATAGAGATTGTCTTGTTATGTTACATTTGATAGCTTGCTTTGTATAGTTACTAAGTTTGGCTTCGCTTTCATGATCAACCCAGCAGCTTGTAGCAAGTTTTTCAGCTGTTGTGCGATAAGACCTCCTGGACAGCACAAAGCTCCAATCTGTTCTAGCTTTTCAGGAAATATTCTGCCGCTGCACCATACTTCCAAGCACCAGCTTTGTGCTAAAATACAAGCTAAAAACACAAGCACAAAATGCCATTCTCAGCTTGAACCAGTCTGAGTTTTAAAAGATCCTTATGATGCTGAGGTACTGCAGCAGCTCCACGAACATGTTAAATCAACCTTAATTAGCACATATATCACTGTGCCTTATTATTCAGGATACAGAATATAAAAAGTGTTCTTAAATATGCATAGCATGGAGGAATCTGTAGGAGACTGGCCCTTAGTTTCTACTTTTCTGCATAGCAAGTTACTTGGCTATGCAAAGTTTGCTCAGATGCCTCCCCTGTTCAGAAACACTCAGGTTATGGGCTTAGAAACTTTTAGATGTGCTGAAATGGTGAAGGAAGGGAGAAAGGGGGCCTGTCCATGGACATAGCCCTGGACCACCTGCTGCTCGGTGCAGGGTGGTGGGGGATGCCACTTTGCACCTCTGAGTTCTCTAATGGGGCAGGATGGAGATAGACAGCTGAAGGAATGGAATGAGCATGAAAGGTTTGCAGTAACATGGACTTTCTTTCTTCATGGATGTTTGTTTCTTCCTCCAGCCGTTCCAGCTTAAATGCCAAAGTGGAAGAGTGTGTTAAATTAAACTGTGAGCAGCCTTACGTCACTACAGCAATAATTAGCATCCCAACACCTCCAGTCACCACACCGGAAGGAGATGATAGGCCAGAGTCTCCCGAGTATTCGGGAGGAAACATTGTCAGAGTATCTGCTTTATAAAAGAAGGAGCTATTTCTAAACTAGCATAAAGACCACTTGCAAGCTGAGCTCAAGCAGTGAGGAATGAGAAAGCTGACAAAGACAACGCCCCTTGATGTGTGCCAGCAGCCACAGAGCAAGAGATCTGGGAGAAACACAACACACTGTGGGTTTCGGTGTCATAGCGTGAGAACCAAAAGGAGTTTCTTACCCCTTGTCCAAACTGAGGCGCGGTGGAACCTTCTGTGACCATCCTGACTTACTATATGAGCACAATGAAATGTCCCCATTGATGCTTCTTCTTATCATGAGAGCTCTTTTTAGGAAAAAAAAAAAATAAACAAAAACCACAAAAGAAAAAATAGAAACAAACCTGTGTTTCTGCCAAATGCAAAACAATGAGAAACATTTTGATAAAGTGTCTCTTTTTTTTCCTGCTAATAAACTACAAACTTGATGAGGAACTATCAAAAAATGAAAGAAAAAACGCTCATATGAAATATGTTTGTACTAACTGAAAGAACTACAACCATAATGCATGCTGAAATTATTTGGAGCTGTGATCTCAGTTTACTTTTGTTGTTTTTCAGATTAGGCATGATAAAATATTACTGTAGAAAGGGGCATTTCCGTGCACTTACAACAAGCTGATTGTTAATGTCCCATGGTAGTTGTACAAATAACTTCCCTTTGAAAAATGCAGTATTTCTTATTCAAACACTCATTAGTGAACTAAAGGTGTTCAGTTAGTTCAATATTTATTATTGTTTTATCTTGCTTCCTAGGTACTGTTACAACTGCAATAACTCATTGTACACCTGTTGTATCAGGAATCAGGATTTCTTTTTTTTTTTTAAGGTATTTTACACAACTTCATCTACACTATAAACTTCTAATGGCAAACATTTAAATAACCTTACAGTCAAACCGTGCACCACAAATGAGCTATTCAGTCACTGTTCTTTTTGTCCACTGTCCTCTATTTCTATGACAGTTTGTTACACACTCCAACACTGCTGTACTGTTCGGGATTTCAAGGCTACTGATGAATCAACACAGTCCTTTCGTCTGTAGACATCTTGTCTGCTTCTGTATTTTCAGAACAAACCTCTCATCCCCGTGTACCTTTACAGCATCAATCATATCTGAATTAAAATTACCATAAAGGTGTTTTTGGGATCAGCTAACACTTATCTCCAAACCTTCCTTGTTGACATTCTGCAGCATCCAGAGCATTAGCTATGCTGGAAGACATTCAGTAAAAATGATGGCTAAATTCTTTTTGTCATTATCTGTAAACTTGCATCCTAAAACTTGTTTGAGAATTTATATTGTGTGAAGATACTTAATTACCTAAGAACACAGACAGAATAATGGATTGGGTCCCAGAGCTATAAAAATATGATTTATTGCAATTGGAATTTGCCTACATGGGCAGGCCTAATAGCTAATATGAAGGCTTTACTAGTTAAGGCTTCTTGGCTTCACTTTGAAGACACTGATGTTACCAGAAACCTTTCTGATATAAAAGTATCATTTTTCTTCATGAGAGTGCATTAAATATATCATAATCCTTCCTATATTCATGACATACCATACATCATATACATCAAATATACATGGAATATGTGCATATCGATACATACATATACACATCAAAAACACTGGATCAGAAATAATTGCATGTCTGCAAAATAAAATATGCATATAAATCAAAAGACTCAGTGCATTAGATGCCATTATAATAAATGATTAACACAGTTATTTAATAGTTTGAATAGTGTAGTGTTTGCTAGCATTCTACCAATCTGAAAAATTACATTAAGAAAAAATACCCACTAAAACCTCAAACTTACTGATGATACACTTTTTACTGCACACAAGGACTGGTCTTTCTTTCTATCTGACAACTGAGATTGAGGAGTAAATGATGGACTATCATGCTACAGTATATACACCAAAAAAACAACATCACATAATAGAAATAAACTGCAGTTTAAAAAGTACAGTGTCATGCATTGCTCTCTTATTATTTACTTATACAGAAGCTTGGTTAATTTGCAATTAATTTAAACGCCTCCAGGGTTGGAGCATTCACAACTTCCCACTTTTTCTGCAAATCAGGATAACTTACTGTAATCTGAGCTTATACATTTCTTTCAGACCTTAACAGTGGGCAGAAGCAGAGGCTGTCTTTCTGAGGAACTCTGCTGAAGTCAATTACCTGACATTGCTCTCGTCTCTTTCACCCTGCTGGAAAGTTGAAGTAGACCTGCAGAAACTGGTGGGTTATACATAGTTTTAATGGGGTTTAAAGGAGAGGTAGAACAGACGCAGAGTTTTTACTTGCATCCTACTTCTACCCATGGTTACTCATACAAAAAATGTTCCATCCCCACCAGTTACTGATATAAAAACTGCCTTGATACTAGCAATCTGCAACAACTTCTTTATGCCACACAGTACATCTTGACTAGTTATATCAGGTATATAATGCAAAAAGGCAATTACTAAACCCACTTTGGAACAGACTACATACAACCCAGGAAACCTACTAATTCCATCATCTTTTAAAATCTCTTTATTGTTTTCATATGGACTAAAAAGAATGCACTACAGCAATGCACTTGCATAACAGTTACACCCCTGAAGCAACTTGTATCTTCATCTTCTAAATGCAGCTTAAGGAATAACTTAGTATAATTTTGCAGAATTCCAGTCTTGTCACCTATTTCCATGTCACATACAAAATCATTAATTGATCCTGAATTTGGGAGATACACATTCTTTTGGTGATTTAGGTGATTTAAATGCTGTTTTGGTAGTGAATGACTGTTGATGACTGTGTAAAATGCATCTGTACTGTACATGAAATGTAATTATTTCTGTGTATCATACAAAGAAACCGAGGTTGTTGTTTTGACAATTTTGTTTGACAGTCATATATCGTATTTCAGAAGGCAGCATAATACACATGTGCTGAATAAATAGACATTTGAGGAGTATTTAAATAAAACATCTGCATGCTTGAATGGGTCGACTTGGTTTTGCAATAACTTATTCATGGAACCTTCTTCCTTCTCTAAGGAAGGCCACAGAGCCTCCTCAAACCTGGTATCAAATACTCTTGATAAAATATTAGTGCACAGATGAGATCGAGATCCTTTTGTAGCATAACAGCAGGTAAGACCACCCCATGGACCACTTACAAAGGCTGACTGGTAGAGCAGATGATGCTCATCTACCAGCTGTGCATACCATGGCACTGGCATGTGTGACACCCACCTCTGCCAGGATAACTGCACTGAGGAGGAGGGAAGGTAAAAGTAATATCTGCCTGTGAACCATCGCAGAACATTTTTAAGGAGAATGACTGTGTTTCCATAAAATAGCTACAGGAGACAAACTGAAAATGTACACTTTACATTTGAGGTGTGGGATATACTCGCTATGGAAACACACTGACTGCCCAGAGAAGGTTTTTGCAGAGGAGAGCACGATGCAACCTCAGCTGCTCCAGACAGAAGGGTGGCTTTTGGAGACAGACTGGACTGGAGAAGGATAAATTAGTGAAATCTAAGGATCGTTACATTTTATGTGGGGAGGGTGCTTAGGAGGTCATATACTCTCTTCCCTGCACCTAGGGCCCACCAGGACTTTATTCTCCCATTGACCATGGGAACATCTGAAGATGATCAAGAGTTCTGGAATAGCAATCAACCAATGGCATACATCAGTATGAGGCTAAAAGAGCAGTCGGGAATGAACAACATATTTTGATTGACAAAGGCAGACATACATAATCACCTGGACAGCTTAGTTTCTTACCTGCCTTCATTATCTTTACACAAGACTAAAACTATAACTTTATACACAAGTCTCTATACAGAAGACTAACCTAAAACTTTAAGTTTTAGATGAATCCAACTTCAATAATAGCAATTCACATGTATTAAACATAATGCTTGTGGATTGACCCTGGCTAAATGCCAGGTGCCCACCAAAACCATTTTATCACTCCATTCCGCAGCTGGACAGGGGAAAGAAAATTAAGAAAAAGCTCATGGGTCAAGATAAGGAGGGGAGAGATCACTCACCTGTTACTGTCACAGGCAAAACAGACTCAGCTGGGGGGAGGAAATTAATTTGATCACCAATCAAATCAGAGTAGGATAATGAGAAATAAACCCCAAATCTTAAAAACACCTTCCTCTCATGCCTCCCTTCTTTCTGAGTTCAGCCTTACTCCCAAATTCCTCCCCTCCGGCAGTGCAGGGGGACAGGGAATGGGGGTTGTGGTCAGTTCATCACACATTGACTCTGTCACCCCTTACTCCTCAGGGGGAGGACTCCTCATGCTCTTCCTCTGCTCCAGTGGGGGGTCCCTACCATGGGAGACAATCCTCCACAAACTTCTCCAATGTGTGTCCTTCCCATGGGCTGCATTCACAAACTGCTCCAGTGTGGGTCCCCCATGGGGTCACAAGTCAGGTCAGGAGCCTGCTCCAGCATGGGCTCCTCTCTCCATGGGTCCACAGGTCCTGCCTGGAGCACCTCCTCTCCTCCTTCACTGACCTGGGTGTCTGCAGGGATGTTCCTCTCACATATTTTCACTCATTTGGTTTTGACTCTCTCTGGATGCAATTGCTGTTGTGCGCATTTTTTTCCCCTTAACTATGTTATCCCAGAGGCACTACTACTGTCTCTGATGGGCTTGGCCTTGGCCAGCTGCAGGTATGTCTTGGAGCCAGCTAGTATTGACTCCCTCGGATATAGGGAAAGCTCCTACAGCTTCTTATAGAAGCCATCCCTGCAACCCCCCTCCTACCAAAACTTTGCTACACAAACCCAGTACAATGCTTTTGCAGTAAAAACTTCAAAAACTATTTGAAAATCCCCCCCTCCATCATACTTAAATATATAGTCACTGAGACCAACAGCCTCTCCCTTTACTATTATTTATACATTCCCTTGTATTTATGGGTTGTTCTTACAAAATTAACTGCTATAAAGAAGAGAAAATGTAGTTATATTTCCTTCAGAAAGCCTTGTCATACTAACCAATACCTTGACCAAAGACCAGGAATAACAAATTTTGCCTCCTAAAAGCATCCCCTTGCTTTCATGACTGCATGGTGCAAAACTGGCTAAGCCCCACAGCTACACAGTCCCATGGACTCAGTATGATGCATGGGACTGAACAGAGACACCTAATGCAGGCAGGGGGTGACCCTTTTTCTAACACAGTTGCTCTCCTTGACATTAAGTGACCTGTGAAAAACATTAAGGAGCAGCTCCATAGTTGTCTGTTGTAACAAGAAAGATTTGGTTCACTGCAGTTTTTGCTGCAGTGAAGAGACAATACACCAGTCCTTCTCCTTCAGGTACTCCTGAAAAACAGGGGAAAAATGGAAATAAAAAGATGAAGTAGTTTTCACTGCTGCAACTATCTCTACATGTTCCTGTCACCGAGCAGCCTCTGTCCTACATATATCCTGAAGCTCTACAGGAAAAGAACAGGCTCACAACAGCCTTGTCAATCAATGTTCAGGCGCTTTGAATGAGCCCTAGAAAAACAGACACCCCTCAGAGCCTGAGCACAGGGAAAGAAAAAAGTTTGAAAGTGTTCCAATTTACAGCCAAGACCTATTGCAGCAACTCAGAAGGATTCTTTCTCAGAATACTTAGTAGCCCTTGCTAGGGAAGGGAATACTTTTTATAATTCCTGACATGTGGGTCTTTCCCCAAATGAAACTAGCCCCACACTGGATGCAGACTGGCTCAGGATTTGGGTGGCCAAGCCCAAGTGAGGTTACCCTGGCTCATGGATGGTCACTCTTGTCAGGGTCCACAAACACTGCTCTGGGAGGTTGGTCCTGTTTGAAAGGAGCCCTACCAAAAAACTCCCTCTGCTCCTGAAGTAACCTGGCTACACCTGTGTAGCATGACCGGTCTCTGTAGCACTCAGGTCTAGAGCTGGTCTACATCCAGGCTCAGACATCTGCTTTTTCTACATAGGAACCTCACCATTAGCTACAGCAACACTGTCCCAGGTGAGCAGTGAAAGGATGGAATTCTGCTGTACGTGTGCAATACCGCTGGGCACAAGGCTTCCCAATCAGTGCATGAAGAAATATTTCTGACAAAGATACTCCAAGCAAAATTTTGGGAAGGCCTATCCTTCAGCTGCCTTCTTACCTCTCAGAATAAGTATTAGCATCTGCAGGAGAGGTGCAAAAGCAGAAAGGTAATCTTGCTTCCAATGCTACCCGTGAAGTAATTACACCCCCACGCAGACTGCTAAAAAACAGACAACAGCCCACACAACTGAAGAGCTTGATTTCATGAGCCCCTAAAGAATCTTCCTCAGAAGCAATAAAAAAGAAAATGAAATTTACAATGCAGTTTCTCCACAACAAAATAAGTTGTATGGGTAAAGACACATCAAATTAACTCACACTAGCAGAGGGACCCTCCCAGCTGCCACCCAAAGCATTCATGCTCTAGGACTTCAAAATAAAAAAAGCCATTACAGAATTTAAGACAAAAGTAATTTTATTGTGTACCAAATCACATCTGATTTTTTTTCTTTTACAAATTCCAAAACAAATGAAAGAACTTTTAAAACGTAGTATTATGTAAAAACCCATTTGCCACAGACTGCACTCAGTGGAACTAATATATATTTCAGGAACGTGGCCAATTGTAAAAATAATCCTATGAAATAAACATTGTTCATAAAAATACAGTAAAATGCACTTTCCCCATCTCAATAAATACATTTTAACTCTGTTTCCAGTTGGCATTTTAAGCCACTAGAGAGCTCTTAATGAAGAAACCACCAAAGTATAATTCCTCCGTATGCACTTTTACAATTATTGCAATAGCATCCAGAACTGTAAGCATTTTCCTTGTAGTCTTTTGTTTCTACCTTCAGGGGACCACAGACAGGAGAAAAAAATTATCTATAAAATGTGCTACTCCCATATTGATTCCTATTTTGGAAAGAATGTTTAAGGCTTTCTTTCTTAAGAAATAGTCCTTAGAACAAATGGTTTCAAAGAAGAATTCTCCAGAATTACTCAGAAAATTAAAGTCTATTGTCCAGAGTCATAGTTCTGCTTTCAATCTGTTTAATACATTTAAGATTAAAAATTAAACAGTTATGTTAGATAAAAATAGATGTTTTAGAACATCTTTAACAACAGCTAAGATAAAGGTTTTGTTAGAAAAAGAAAATCTCACCCTTTTTAGAAATCTTGCAGATTTTTAAATCCAGGTATTGACTTGTAGTTCTGCTTTCCATGCACACACAAAACCAGACAATTATATATACATAGATCCCTGATTAAGACATTTTCAAAATGGCTTATTAAAAATGTAAAAGTCAATTTCAACTGAAGTCACATTTTGTTTGGCCAGTCATTTCTTCAGAAGATGAGTATTTCTCTTCCTTTCCTGTGATGCTTCCTTAAAGGTTCTGTCTGCCTGTGAGTGAATCAGTGTTCTACACATCACACTGCTTGTGACAATAAGTTAAACATTACTGTGCCAGTGAATGAGTGCCTTTTAAAAAACAAAAAAATTCAACTCTCTTTCATGGCTGAGACCATGGCTAAGAGGCTGACTGGCTTATGCTTTCTTTGCTGGCCTCCTTCACTTCCATCCATCAGCCGTTTCTGAGTCACATGAAGACTGGTATATCTGGTATACTTGATGGAACAGAATAAAAACAAGAAAACCCAATTAAACCCCTTTATGACTTAATAGGTACATTGCATCACCTATAGCTCTTCCATTTCAAAGTGTGTATTAAAGCTGTTTGCCATGGATGTATGTTCAAAGATCCTTGTCAGGCTTGGTTTCAGTAGCTCCACAGAATTACATGATAGCTGCTGCGACGTATCACTCTTCAGGGCCATCATCTGATGCGTTCCAGGATCCTTTCTGTCATAGTACAGAGCCCACAGCAAAGTAATAGTGAGGATCATAGCCAGGATCTGTGTTACTCCGATAGAGATTCCTAGAAATCTCAGCACTTGCAATTGCTTTGTTCCCCTCAAAAAAGTGTACATTTTTTTACCACATCCCTATGAAACAAAAAGATTTTTAAAAGTTAGTCAATATTATTTGGTTTGCAGATCCCAAGGCTTAGCTCATCCTACATACTGCTGGCTTTCCTGGCTCCCCAAGATTTCTCTCTTGCTTCCTTCAAACAATACTTTGAAAATTATTTTGCCTTCTTTTCAATCACTTCCATAATGACATCGTTAAGTTTTCTCATACACTGAGAAGTTACTGCATGTAAGCTTCAAGAGATCTGTGCTACTCTCTAATTCAGAAATCACTCCGAGTTCCTACCAACTATTACTGATTTTTAAAGAAACTCAACTGGTTTTGTGAAGGTTTAAAAATCCTCTTAACTATCTTGTTTCTCTCATTAATTTGCAGATCTTCAAAGTTGTCAATTATTTTAAACTCTTCAGACACTTTCTACAATTACCACCACAATCTGAAGTTTAAACAATATTCTAAGAAAGATCTACAGACCTGCATAACCTCATCAGTGTTTCTTCCCACCTTTTCTCTTTTATCTGGGCTCAATATATGCCAGCTTATTTAGTTCCACAGAAAGTCCCTAGGGAGCAGAAAAATCATTACATTCCAGTCACCAGTAAGGAGCATTGAATAAAATAACCTTTAATGGAGGACTTCTGACAAATTTCCAGAAGATGGTGGGTACACAAACAGACTTTCTTTAGTACTCAGTGATAATAATACTACATACATCTGGCATTACTCCTACTTTTCATTTCTGAACTAATAGCATCTCCTTATTGCAAAAAGCATATCCACTTACGCTAGTTACATTCTGCCTATGACTATATTTTAAAATTAACTGGCTTAATTTCAGATTTGAATGTAGAAACTTCCGTGCAAATTATTGTGATGATGGTATACCAACACCCAGTATTGCTTCATATATTGTGCTGTTGCTACTTAAAGCAACCTAGGCAGGCAGCTTGACCCTGCTCCAAGGAGCTGACAATCCACCCACTGTATTAGGAAGATGGTCGCACACACCACCTATGCAATTATTTACAGAATAACAATAATTATTATTTACACAGAAAAGGTCTGGTGAAAAATTATGTTAAAACGTCCCAAGTTGATGTTTCCCAGAAATGGAAATTTGTTTCTTTCCAAACCATCAGTGCATGCTCCAAAGTTTGCTTACATGGCCAACTAATAATTACTGTAAAAGGCTTCAGAAAAGCTCCCAAGCCCTCTTAAGGCAGCAAGGATCCACAAATAGACACTGGCTCTGAGAACTACTGGATGACAGTACAAACACAAACTACGATGCTTGTTGATCAGAAAAGGTGATGTCTAGTCTGAGAGTGGATAAAACCTTGAAGAGAGGGGCCCTTAGTGACCAGCCGATGCTTATTCTCTACTTTAAACTTTGCAGGACTTCACAACCTGCAAAGCTGCAAAACTCAAAGAAACACAGCTATCAAGGGAAAATTCAGAGTAACAGACTGGATGGGAGAACACCCCAAATAACCAATAGGCATTAGTCCCAGAAGACATCAGGAGCCCATCAAGACAGGCACTGTCTTCAAAACGTCATTTTTGCATTTATATCCTTACTACACATTTCTTACAGCTTTTCTGTGAGAAGAACGCAACTGATCAAAGTGACAGAATCTGAAGACAGGACATGATAAATAACACTTTTCAATCACACTGAAATTCCCCAAAGCCACCAATTTCAAATGCTACAGTACCCAAAGTATTTGATGAAAGGTCTGATTCTTGCTTCACACACAAAATTCATGCTGCAGGCAACAGATTTTCATTGAGGATCTAAATTAAATTAATGTACTTTATGACAATGGTACTAGATTAAGTTAAAGGATCTCAGTCTCTTTGCTCCATTCTTATTTCACTGTGTTGGTTTCTAAACATTAATATAGTTCAGACACAGAACAATATGTGAATGTGGATTCTTTGACATTTAAAAAAAAGAAAAAAAAACAAACAACAAAAAAAACCCCACCAAACAGAACAACCCCAAACTATAGAAAAAGTATTATAATTGAACTTGACGAGGAACAAAAAATACCACATTGGTGTCTTCTTGAACTAGAAGGCAGTGCTGTAATTATACTACTTTCCAAATTTGTTTTTAATTACAGAGCATCTGACTGCATTTTAATACTTTTAATAACTTTAAGGAATGAAGGTACATGCTAGTCAAGTTAAAAATACTCAACCACAGCAGTATTCAAATTCAGTTCATTCATTGCTTAGAGGAAACACCCATTAACAGAGAGCAGTAACATTAATGCCTACACCTCCTGCAGTACAGACACATAATTGAGACGAATTATGCCTGATCTCGATAGGCTGCCTCCCTCCATTTAATGATGTTCTTGCAGTTCGGCTCTAATACACATTCAAAATCAGTTTTAAAATTGAGAAATATCCAGCCACCCCTATTATCCTCACATTCATGCACTTTATTTCTGCTTATACAACACATTCATAGTCGGTAGCCTGCAATTAAAGGGTACATTAAATATACTTTTCTCAGCAAAAGTAAAAGTTTGTCACTAAACAGGAAGCTTTTGTTGACAACTCAAAAATAGTATAAAACACTGCCGCAATCATTCAGAAGAATTAGCTTCAAATTCCCACAGAACTACGGATTAAAGGCCTGATTCATATTTATTACGAAGGCTATTTTACCTTCTCAGTCTTCAAATGGAAACAAACCAGGTATTTCTGATATACTGCAACATCACAGAACAAGGAGCGGATCTTAAATAAGGCATTCTCAGAGTAGGAAAGAGAAACATCAGCATATTCAACAGATCTCTTACATACTCAAATTTTGAGTATACTCAAAGTATGCTAGAATACAAAAAAATATTGAATACGCAATTTTGATTCTTCTGAATATACCAACACCTAGCAAGCCTTTTGTCTAAGCTACAGTTTCTGGCCACAAGATGGGCAGAGCTCCCCTTGTCCTCAGACCACAACAAATCTCAGAGTGTGGTTGTGAGGGAAGTACACGATGACAGATGCAACGAACTCAAAGGTTCGACTGTTCCATGGACTGCACCAAAGGTGAAGCTAGTCAGAATAAAAGTAGTCCAAGATGACTAACACATTTGAAAATAGCTTTCAAATAATACTCTCAAACAAAACTCTAAGCCACTTTTCTTTCTACAAAAACTGTATTGCGAAGGATTCTAACTTAGACTAAAGAAAGCTCCAAAATCCCAGCAGAAAATTACAGCAAAACTATGAAAAAACCTACTTTATCTATCCCAGCCAAACCAAACTTCAATTTTCTTAAGTACAAAGAACTTTTCTGAAGCACCAGAATGAACTTGCAAAGCATTTACATAAGCCAATTTTAGGCTAGCGAGTCTAATACCATCAGAATCCCTCTCAAACCACCAAATTATGCAAGTTTGTTTGGAATCACTTTCTAAAAAAGCTTTTCTCCTTCAAATCTCCAAAGCAGAAGTGAGACCGATTAGCCTTGCAAGTATAGGCTGGTTTTGCATGATACTGATAAACATATTAGCAAGCACACTCTATGAGCCTATGAAACAACACACAGGCAAGGACCATGGAAAAAAAAAAATGTTTTGCCAACCAAATACTGTACATCTCAAAAAGCAACAGAGTATTTCTGTAGCTGGTAATTCAGAATACAGACTGTCCATTTTTTTAATGGATTACGCAGTAGAGAACCAAAAATACTTTTTTCTGAAAGCTGAATCTATCCAAAATGCTCTGGTGTACAGTAAGGGAAGAACCATAAACGTGCCCTTCAGTTTTCTTTTATAAAAAAGCCATGCAGGCTTTCTTTTTATTATGTGGGTCTTAACAGAGCCCTTACGTTCTACAACATCATCATCTTTGGCTGTTAATTTTCTACAAGTAGAACTGAAAGAACTTGAACATAAAAAGTGCACACAGAGAACCACTTTCCTGGAACATGGCTATGGGAATGAAGTATTAGCAGAAGAGACAACATAAGAAAACCTTGACGTTTCAACAAGACACTCCATGGACTAGTTCTCCTCAGAATTTTCTGAGTTTCCCAAGCTCAACAATTTGTTTTTCATTGAGTGACGCTGCTTGCATACTCTTGCCTTTTCACATAAGCAGGAAGGATGCTCAAGACAAATGAACATTCTGCAGCTTCCACACACATACCCTGAGTGCTCTCTATGGCAGAGTTGGTCTGTGTGGTGTCAATACTGGCAGCAGTATTACAAAAAGCAACTATTAGTGCAGAGTGAGCCACAGTTCATTCTTCTTCAAGCATAAGCAAGAGACTAGGCTTCTTCTGGGTCCTTCCAAAGTGCTTTGCAATTCAGAGACTGATACTTACTTCTACAGTCCAGCCACTGCTCTGAGCCTTGCCATGAGGCAGGAGAGTCTCTACAAGTAGCTGGTGGAAAGAGAACAGCCTCTGCCACTGTCAAGGTTCCCTAACACAGACTGGCCTTCTGAGGCACTGGCCTTTTGGCAGCTCTTCCTTCTCTTTTGCTCCTGGAATCACATCAGGCCTAGGATGGATGTCTGAATGTCCATAATAAATTACATACTTTCTGCTTGTAGAGTCAATGCCATACAAATGCATTTCCCCAAAACCAGACTATTTCCTGGCAACAGCTAATGTTCATCTTGGCTTGTTTTTACAGCGGATCCCCTGCTTCAGAGGTATCTCTCCATAGCACCTCAACAAGAGCTACATAATTAGATTCTTGTAAGAAAGTTTTGAAAGTGGTAAGAGACTGGGACAGGATGAGATGGTTCTTTGGGTCATCTTCCATAATGTAGAGTTGCACTGTCCATTGGAAAAATGATCATGCTGCAGCATCTGGAAGTACACTTCTCAGGCCCATCTTCCTTCCTATGCACCTTGTACTACTTTTAAAGAAAGCAAATGAATAACATGTATTTTCTCAGAATCTCGTAACTACTTGACTGAGACATGGGTTTTGCCAATACTGGGCTACCTGGCCTGTTGATCATTCTTCTATTACTGAATGCACAGTTAAAGATCTTCAGAGGTCTATCAGCATTAGATGGTAGGTATCAAAGCAGTCTCCAGGCAAAGGTGACTTTAGACAACATTTTTGTGAGAACAGTTTGAATTGTTTAGTAGAGAACATATTTACTTGTTTGTATAATTTTCATCCTAAGAACAGTAATGACTTGCTATCATGATCACCTCCCTTACCTACTTTAAATTGGTCCTCTCCTGGTTTTGCGGCTTTAAGATTTTTTTTTATTTTTAAATAATAATCATAGTTTAATGTAGTGGACTTGGAGAGAAAGAGCATTTTTACATGAAGTTTCTGTGCATTCTCACAGTGGAGCAACTGAATTACCTGCCTCCTTGCATGAGCCCGTTAACAAGAGAGCTCTCATCTTCCAAAGGACTTCTCAAAAGTATCCTTCATAGTTCAACATATCACTCCAGTCCTCATTACTTCATGGTAAGCAGAATTTCTCTTTGTTTGGCAATCTGGAGACTGGACATTACACTAAAACTATTTGGTTGTTTTTTTTTTTTTAATTTCTGACTGGAGCAAATTTCAGCTCCAACCTACCCAATATAAAACAAATATTTAAGCACATCTCAGATGTTAAATGCACTGCTAACAACTCGTCTCACTTCCAGGTAACGGTGAGTGGGTTGTTTCTCTCCTTTTTCCTTTCTTCCTTTCTCCCTCTGCTTCAGCATTAATCAATAATAAACATAAATAAATATAAGAAACACTTTCCGTAAACACGATTACTCAACAAACTATTCTGCTGCATTGCAAATGATGAGTTTGGAAAATGACTGAATCAGGAAGAATGTACAAAGGCTTCAAGAATATCCACTTTTTTTCTCACCTCCTGATAAAGGTCACTGAGATCCTCATGATGTGCCTGCTTAGAGCATCCTGGGAATTCTCTGACACAACAGGAGTCAGGCGGCCAGTCCATCTCTGTCATTTCCAGCCAGTCTGTGAAGTACACCACCCCACAACATTTAAACTGCAAAGGAAGGATTAGCCAAGATCAGCAACAATGATGCTACTTCTTCATAAAAGTAGGTCATCAAAAAAGCTAAATAAATTCTATTAATGACTCCCAAACATTTACATAGGACTAAAAACATCTACAAGAGCTTCCACATGCCTTCTTTGACTGTGGTCTGACATAAAGGCGGTATGAAAAACGTAGTGAACAATGAGCAGCTCAGAAACAGCCAATGATACTGCTCTGCCCTTTAAATCCCAACTGTTTCCTCAAAGAATGCTTCACAGAAATTGTCCTACCCTGTAATTCTGCTATCCTTACTACAAGGAGCTAACACATTATACTTTTATGTCAAAAAGGTGACTAATGAACAAGTATACCTGTGGCTGAAGGAAGTAGTATGTAAAGGTGATTAAGGTCTTACTAGTGAAGACTATTCCTGCAGGGCTAAAACTATGGACACATCTATCAAAAACAAGATGAGAAAACCCACAGATTTATCTGAATACAGAAAAAGAAAAAAAGATTTTAAAAGTGAGCGTAAAGGTATGGAAATGACAAATGCTGAAAACAAAAAGGGAAAGGAAGGAAGGGGTATCACACTAAAATAAAAACTGCAACAGAATAAACCATAAAAGCAAGATATCTGGCTGTAAAGCAGATGAGTCATAATTGGCTATAAAAACTACATGGTCTAACAACCTGTCTTCTCCTCTGCAAAACACACCAAGAAAATTGAAGCCAAATGACCAGCCTATGACATTCCTAACTGCTTTCACATAAAAAAAGGGGTAAAGCAGTTATATTAAATTTTGTTTGGAATTGGATGGTAAACTGATATACCTGAGGAAAAAAAAAAAAAAAAAAAAAAAAAAAAAACATCGTGGCGAGGAAAGCCTTGCTGCAGGGACAGGAAGCTGCTTTCTTCTACCTGGATGCTTTAGTACCAGCCTGAGTTTGTAAGTCATCACCTGGTCCCTTTGACCCATGGGCTTGGGAACATTTGCTCCCCTTTCCCACTTCAGAGCCAGAGTCCTGTATACCATGCCACTCTTTGATCACAACCAAGCAAATCAGTGCCCCGACACTAGGTTAGCACACACCGTGCGCTTTGGCTCCTCATTGTAATTGCAAAGACCACCTCACTAAACATCCTTTCCTTAATCTCAAATCTTTTCTTCCCCCTGCCCAGTTCTTCCTTCCTGACTTCAACTGACCCTTCCCATCTTCCTTAGTATAGTCACAACTCTGATATTAGACCAGCAAGAAGGCTAACGGGAAAACACACTTCCCATCTCTCTCAGGTGTGAAAAGATACAGAAGAGCAAGCACAAGGCTGATCAGGGCTGAAGCTTTGTGAACAAAATTGTAAATTATAATTTTTTTTTCTTTTGAGAAAAAAAAAAAGGAAAAAAATGTGCTGAGAAGGGCCCCAGGCATAGTGCTCATTCAAACATAAAGCACATACCAGGCTCTCACGTCCACCATCAGAGTTATGAGTAGACAGAATAAAATTGACAGTCCACCAATTAAGTAGGAGCTGTAAAAGAGACTTCTTAGTTCACTTCAAACTTTCCCCAGATCATTCCTGTGACCAGAGATGGAATATAGGAAATCTAAGTTCTAAAAGGAACCTTTTCTACCCTGGAAGAGTTAAGGCATAGTTGAAGTTTTGTTAGATTCCTTTTTCTACATTTATTTTTATTCATATTAAAACCAGCCATTATGATGACACTACAACCAGGAGGATAAAAAGCAACTTCTAAATTTAATCAACCTATACATTTGAAAAAAAACAAAACCAAACCCAGTACCAGGTCTATTCAAGGAAAACAAGGCCATTTAATTACATTGTTTCAGGTACAGAAGAGACACAAACACTCTACCTGCGTATGAAGAATTACTCGGTTTCACAGAGCACTTGCACAGCCAAAGCATGGGACTGGGAAGGGTAGGGGTGTGTTTAACCTCATGTAGTCCTCGCTTTTCCTTTCAGGTTTTAGTATAAATGCAGACTAACCAAGTGCTGCCAGGAAATGTTTAAATAAACAGGAAATCTGTGCAACAATGACAGATTTCAAGATTTCAACAAGGGCAACACAATGACAGGCACTTAAAGTGTTCTCTTCCTGCATGTGAGTTATATTTGGAGTTAATGGGTTTTACTGGGCAATTTCATGTTTTTGTAACATAATACTTGGTTCTTTAAAACCAGTTCTGAATTTTAGTAGGCTACAGGGCAAAGCTGTGAACAGACACGGAAGCTTTTTGGTTTGTTTCCCACCCCTCCAGTCAAAGGAAATAAAACCCCTGATCACTTGCTCAAACCTCAGCCGAAGAGACAGTGTTTGCATCTTTTTGGAAACTTCCTTTCCCCCTCATTTCCAGCTAAACTCATTATCTTAACCAGGACAGCTCCATGAAGGAAAACTAACAGAGTCAGGGTATCAAGTGATTTTAAAAGATACCATCTCTACACAGGGTTTCACATGAAATGAACTTGCATTTATTTACCTATCCACTTAAAACCAAACCTTTTCTTTTAGCAGTAAATAACATTTTACCATGCATGTATTAGTTCAGCTCATGAATTAATTGTCATCTTACCTCCCTCTGAAAGAAATTCCAAGCATGGGTCAGCCACTGGTACCGAGGAAGGCCATAATTGGTCATCCTGGCTTTCAGTGTGATCATATCAGACCACTGGACCGGAACCTAAAGCAAGGAAAGAAAAGTAATTAACACAGCACATCAGCTGTCTTATGGCTCCAAACCCAGAACTTCCACCAATTCTGAGATCTTTCCAGTGCAATGACCAAAATACCTTTGAATTAAACAGTAAAATAAGTGCTTCAGTTTTCATGATATTGAAACTTTATGAGGCTTTATTAAAATATCAGGAAAAAGTTATTTGTTTCCTTTGCTTACAAATTAATGTACACTGGAAAAGGAGCTGCATTTTGGAGAGATTCAGAGACAGCTGGGACAATCTGATTATGACTTCACCATAATTTTTACCGGGCATCAAACTTGAACAGAGCACCATGCAAGTCATCAGGGTGGCATTTGTCTGCCCCAGTTTAGATATCTCACTGGTGTCATCTTAGTTGATAGAAAGAAACAGGCAGCCATATTGAGGTGAACAGGGGAAGCTGATCTCAAGATAAATATTTCAAACAGAGCAGATGAATCATTCCATTGAAGTCTCAAATCCACTGTAAAGTGACAAACTTAAAAGCCTAACTTCTAAATACATAGAATTATCCGAGATGAATTATACCCTGAATCTTTTCAGTGGCTTTTTTGGTATCCTGAATGTACTCGATCTCAGTATCTTGCCCAATAGTCACAAGGAAGCATATACGTATAGGCCCCATGAATTTTTTCTTCACATGCAGCCTTGTAAATCTTTCCTTCTGGAAGAAGAATACTCTTAAGTATTTTTCGTTCAAATTTGACTACTCAGAATTGACGTGCTGGTGCTCTCCATTGTCAGACTATGACCCTCAGTCAGCAATGTATTCAGAAACAATAGAAGCAAGTCCTATGGCACTTGGCATACAATGCAGTTAAGAGTCAAGATAACTAACTTCGGCAGCACAAATTTCAGTATGCCAAATTAAAACAAGGAGCTGAAGACTCTGCAGCACAGCATTCATGCTGAGTTTTGCCTTGTTTCCCATTAGCCTTAACAGTCATGGTGAAAGAAATCACAATTGCAGCTTTCACTGGGAGGACAGAGGAGCCCAGCTCTTTTAGCAGCTATGACTTAGCTACCCTGTTCAATTTGAAGTTAAAGGTAAGGGCATTCTGCAAATATCAATAAATGGTATCTAAGAAAAAAAATGATCACTATACTTCCCAAAGAGCCTGGAATATGTGGTGCCAGATGCTCTACAAAAAATAGGGACAATCACTGCCTGACTGACCCCATAATCCAAATAAGAACATTTCATAATGTTTCATTACCACTGCTAAGTTATACTACATTATTGAAACTCTGGTAAAGCTTGATACATCATGAATATGAATATGTTAATAATATCCCAGAAATTCAACACACCTTTCACTTAGAGTTTTTATTTCTTAAGCAATAAAGCATTGAATTCACAACTATCCACATGAAAAACATTTTAGCAGTAGAATACTAAGGATACTTAAAAACAGAATCACAGAACATTTCTACCACAAACATTTATACTGGTCACTCTATTAGAATAATTTGGTTTTGTACTCACTGCATTTCTCTTTCCACTGCATTGGAAGTTAGCACTCTGCTTTCCTTGGATATTATTTGATATCACTGCAATTAAGCTCATACTTGCTAGACTATGTTTTTATTATCTTATTTGAGTTGAATACCATCCAAGGTTACGCACGTAACACAAGGATTCCAACTTTATGAAAACAATGGAAAGCAAGAAAAAAAAAAATCAAGAAGTGAGAGAAGGAAATTTAAAGCAAGTCAAAACAAACTAAACCCTACTGCAGGAAGGCAGTTTGAATTCTGGAGCTACAGAGAGGTATCAGGATCGGTTTGACTGCTCCAAGAATGTCAACATGTCACACTAAGGACCATTGATGCATCTACTAAACAGCTTCACATCAGCTCACGCATGCAGTAGTGCAGAATAATGCATGATCTCGAGATGCATTTGTTTGACTATACACCGACACTTTTCTGTAGCGTGGTTTGATTCTAGCGTAAGTTCTGTAAAGCTCAGTTTGCCACTGAGATCTACTTATTCATTATTATTATTCTAATGAGTATCAAAGCTTGACCAATGCCCAAGTAAGCTGAGAACCCACGCTGGCTTTTCAGTCTTGTGGGTGGACAAATTAGTCATGAGTCTTCATGCTGAGAGCTATCATGAGCTGGAAGGAAAACTGTTTATATAAAGACTCTTAGAGCAACTTGTCCTGTCCACATGCCAAGGAGAGCCCGTATTGGATCAGCAGAGACAGTTATCGCCCAGTGACATTTTTGACAACATCACCCACCCACCTACACTAATGCCAACTGATTTTTTTTAAAACCCACCAGTGGCTCATGTGATCTTATGTTACGCTGAAACTAATATGACAAGTCACCCCCATGGGTATAAGAGGGAGTCTTCTTTCCCAAATAGCGTAGGAGAAAGCATGCTCTAGGTAAGTGACCTTCACAGGTATTACAGAACCACTGAAAGCCAACTGTGCTCTTCCAGACTACCACACTCTCTAACAGGTTTCAGCAGCAAGAAACCTGAGTCTGGCCCACCTCATCACATGAAAGGCAGTATTGTTGGAACAAAGGGAGTAAGAGGAGGAAATAGGATGGAAAGACAAAATACACCCCCAACAGATGGATGTTAGTTATAACTGTCATCCTTGGCAAACCCCCCCCAGAGGGCAGCTGTGCCCATAGGATGAAGCATGTCTCTGGCTGTATTCCCGGTTTTAAAATGCATCAATGTAAGCTGACATTTAAAGTAAAGGGATAGCCTTTATTGCTGTTATATTAGAAGACGCCCCTGGAATCTATACTGCAAGGGAATGAAGGCTGATGCAAAGTGTTGCCACATAACTTCAGACTTCAAATCTGCCAGAAGTTCCTTTGGTCCCAAAAGACTCTCTCCCATCTTACTGCAGTGCAATTGCTACTCACTGTTAGAAAGACCAGGATATTGGGCATATCATTATTTGTAAAAATGTACCAGACTGAGTACAAGATGTAAGGACATAGCAGCCAGCAGAATAACATTTCTCTACACTTACCCATTTTCTTGCATGCTGGTTACAATTTTTCAGTTTGAAAATTAAAGGTTGGTACAGCTATAAAAACTAGACAGAGAGAAAACCTCTTCACAAGTTTACAGAAGAGTGTTTTATAGCTAAGACATGTTTTGTTTAAAACTAGCATTTATAGCTTGTGGAGGCAGTGTGAAGATTTCAGCAGACAGCAAGTTCCCTGTTGAAAGAACATACTGTCTGTTTACAACGTAGTACACTCAGCTCTGTAAAACGTGAAGAACTTCCGGGGCAAAATCCCTTCAAATTCTCACATCTCTCTCAGAATACTTATCTTAAGGCTTAAGTTCATACTTTATCCTCAAAATTTCCGCTGACTTCAATGAGAACCTGCCTAAGTGAGAATTAACGAAAAAGTCCTTAAATCAGGGGCTGCAGGATTTGGCTCTTAACTATAGAGAGGGTAGAGGGAAACTCGCAAGGGACCTTACAGACAGACAAGATTTCCCAGAAGAATTCTCTGTTTAAAAAAGAGCCAGTCACTTGAAATTAGACTGTTGGAATAATGAACAAAGATAAACACTGCAGCAATCAGAAAACAGCTAGCTAATGGAAATCTTTGTTTTCTTCTGCTGAAAAAATGCAGCCTCCTTTTCTGACTCACCGTTATTTCCTGCTCATAGGTCCAAACACCACAGGCCAGTTCAACACAGAATATTACAAGCAAGCTTCCAAAGTACTGCAGAAAACAGAATGGTCTTAGTTATTTTTGATATTCAGGTTAACTTTATAAAAAAGGCTTAACAATATTGAAGGACATCTTGAAACACTATTAACATTTCACATGACTGAAGACATGGAATCTAAAATACATTTTTTTAACCAAAACATGAAAGATTCATGCGGCCAACTTTCTAAAAGTTTAAGTCATGTGATTTCATACAAACTTAACATGAAGCATATGAATATTACAATGGGAAAATAAATCCATTTCTTTGTTGCTCAGGAGTACAAGGCTATCATGACACATTATGCTAAAACAGTTGCAAAGAGGACAATCTTTTTTCCTCCCATGCAGGTGGAAAAACCACCCCTCTTTTTTCAGTTCTATCCATTTAAGCAACCTATCCAAATCATGCCAACAGCCAAAAGGGGAAAGAAAAGAAATAAACATGAAAAAGAGAAAATTGACAATACAGAAGCAAACTAGGTTCCTGAAAGCTCTGTTCTCATCAAAGTGATTTAGATATTTGAGGTCAGGCATAAATGCACAAGTTCTGACCACTGAACTATTTTAAAATAGAAAATGTATAAATGAAGGAGCTGTACTGGTCTTGATGATGATGGTTAAGAAAAACTGATTGCTGTGTTTAAAAAGAGCAGAACTATCATCAACAAATCATTTTGAACTTCAGGATAAAGCTGCATGGATATTAAGACTACTTTAATTGGTGTTCTCCATTAAAAGTAACACATGGAGCAGAATATAGCTCCATTCATCCTCAACTGAAAACTTTCTTCCATGTCAATGAACTGAGCTCCCTCTTGTTCTCAGTACACAAGACTTAAAGTTACTGTTGTCATGGATTTTAATTTTATTTGGAAATCAAATCACAATGTAAAATAGAATAAATCTAGAATGCAATTAATAGGGTACATGCCTAAAGGCTCCTAATTTAGTCATTTAATTCTGGAATATATGTAGGACAGGTATAAAAGACATAAAGCATGTATTGAGGATAAATGATTTTTTTTTTTTTTTCTCCATTAAAGGGTCAATAAGCTGTATTATTTAAAATAGAGAATATAAATCCACAAGTAGTAGGATTTAACGGTCATCTACATGGCACTTTTTTCATCCACCCAGCCTGGAACTGAGTAATTCACAGATACCTTAGCAGCCACTGAACAGTATCATCCTTAACTCCTACTTGCTGATCACATCTAACTCCCTGAATCAGGTTTGCAGATACAAATGGCCAAATTAAAAAGGTGCTTGTAAAAATATTCATGTGAATTTTGAAGAGAAACCTGTATTCATGCCCTCCCCTTTCAAAGGGCAATTCAATAAAGATGATATTGAAAGAAGACATCCAATTTTGCTAGTCTCTGCTATTTTACATTGCATCTTCATAATCATTATAGCTGAACAACACATTGCATACTCTTACAAATCAACAGTGTAAGCACATGAAGAGCTCCAGTACAGACCTTCAGTAACCAGTATGTTCATCCTCCACAGGCCCAAAAGGGGAAAAAATTTTAGTCGTACCTTGGAAGAACAATGACACTTTCTCTAAAAAATAAGATAATGAGTTTCCAGGCAATGTATCCACTATCACTGTAGTGCCTGCAAGTTATGCAAATACTTTGCACACTTTGCAAATATTCACTTCAAAAGGGGAAAGAATACCACATGCTTTAGCTCTTTTAATTCATATTAAAAAAAAAAAAAAAAGTTTAAGGACAGTATGGCTAACACGGACATTTTACAACGGAAAAACAACTAAACATTTTGATGAAAAGCGAATTTGAGTACTCAGTTGACAAAGAAAATTTTAGGGTTTTATACTCTAATTGGATAACAAGCCTGGGGCTGCCTGCTATCCCCAAATCTTATGCCAAGCTCACTGATCATGGTAAAAACGATACATGTGGGGGTATACGTATGGCATTCTCTTGAAAACTCTTCATTGCCAGTTCCTTGCAACATTTCATTCACCAACCTTAATATCTGAAACTTCCTCGGTTTTGTTTAGCTAGGAAAGCTTGTGGTAGCAGTTGGAGACAGAAGAGCCAAACCCAAGATTTTCTCTGGTAACTGAATCCAGCCTGACACAGAAAACTATTTAGCCAGATTCACTCATAAACCACTACTGAGTGTGCCAGGAATTGAGCACTCCTGACTAGCTACATCTGGACACATCAGGGCACTGCAGAATTCTGTCCTGAGAAAGCCCATCTTCTGTCCATAAGGCAAAAGACAAGACAAAACACTAAGTGTTTACACACATGAAAGCACACACTAGGAAATGAGCAACTGCAAGCGCACCAAACTTGTACAAAGGAGCTTCAGTTTCCCTCTGCTACTGAAGGGGAATATTATACCTCTCTCTAAATATAATGGCTTGCAAAAAAGATAATTCTTACGTCAGTTGTGTATGTGTGGAAAAAACCCTCTAACCATTATTTAAATTTACTATCCCTAATTTCCATCTTCCAAAAGCAGAAATTGTTACTGATTTCAATGCTTATTCTTTGTCCCCAGTTAGAGTCCCACAGGAGTCTGAATGCTAAATGCATCTTCCTGCATTTACACACTTCTGCTTTTTGCCAGAAACTCGAATGTGGTTTTGAAGCAAGACTTAATATTTCTTTCTGTGCACTGAGTGACTACATTCTGTAAAGGAGACTGACCCCCTGAGGAGTGCTGTTGTGCACTATGCACAAAACTGCGCCAGCAGGTCACTGATACTACTTTCTACAGCACATTTCCCTCAGAACACTTTACTGAGATATTTTGTACTGAATTTTTGGGATTGTTCTGGTTTGTTTCTGGGTTGGTTTTTTTTTTGGGGGGGGGGCAGGGAGAGGGTAGGATAGAGGAAGACACAAAAGGGAGCAAATGTTTTTGCAAAGATATCTACAGGTTATCACAAAAAAAAAAATCTACAAGCAATTAATGCAAAACCACAATCACTTCAAGAACTAGAGACTTCACATGGCAAATACCATAGACTCTTAACATCCCTCTTTTGTAGGCAATTGCTAATCACTGTACTTTTCTCCCTAGACAGACTATGCAAAGTCATCAGAAAACTGAAGTGGCTCCTTCATCCTGTTACAAACCTGTCAGAGTCCATTTCACTGAAGGATTTCCTCCGGCAAGGAGGAAAAAGCTAAACCAGCAACGTTGTGGAAAAAGCTAAAACACTGCTTCCTTGAGAGAAGCTGAATGACTGAAATGCTGGCAGAAAACACTTCCGAGAGTAACAAACCAATGTAAGAATATTCGCCAATTAAACAAAAAAAAAAGAAAAAAAAAGAAAAAAATACAGTAGACATTTACTGCTCCTCACTAGGTCACATATATATGCATGTGGCCAAGATACTAAAATTCAGCACCCCTGCAATGTCAAATGGATGTGTCAATTAGCAGGGCTCATTCTTCTGCAAGGTCCTCATTAAGCCTGCTTACCACCACTAGTCACAGGGGAGAAAGGAAGGCAGGCAGCAGTTCAGTAAAGCAGCAGCTTTCCAGGAGGAGCATCTCCTCTAATACCTGGAACCTTGCACAAGCACCTGGGCCTTTTTTCTGCAGCAGTGGATGGGTATATGTGTGTGGCTCCATCTTCAGAGTACAGAGCTGCAGCACTGACAGCCTGCAGGGACTTAAACAAGCGGAAAGAAGTGGGAACAGAAATAAACTCATTATGTGAAAACCACTTTCAGAGAGAAGCAAAGACAGAGGCATGAAGGGCCAAGGAAAGATATTAAATATATTCCCTGTCTGAATATCAGGTGCAATTACCTGTCTGGTGTGTAATCACCAGACCCTGTTCTGCTGGAATACTCTTCATATGGAACAGGGTAAAAGTGACCCCAGCTGACATCCTCACCCTGCCCTGAAAACTCCAATGCAGAAACCACACACAGCAACAGCACAGAAACCCACTACGATGAGTACAACCTTCTAGTGCAGAGACACTACCAGATCATCCTCAGGTACTATAACTTAAAAACAGCCTCAGGAGAGGTTTTGCTCTTAAGCAAGTCAGACAACCATAGGTCCACTTCTACAGGGAATTCATATATAAGACAGTAGGACAGTGAGATAATGGATATACTGAATGGAAATCCAGTGACGATGAAATTCAGCCACAGAAGGGAGATAACCATTGAGAAAATAATAAAAGACACAAACAAAGGATCAAATAATTTTTTGCTCTAATTCAGACAGCTGTTCAGATAGCTATCCACATAAAGGCTATCAGAACCTGGTAAAGCACTAGAAATACACATGTTATTTTCAAACATGGATTAAAAAAATCAAAATAATTCAAACCTGTTTTTAGAAAGATTTATGTGGACTGTCCAAATAGGGTCAAAAGTTTCAGTCTGAATAAAATTCCTGCGCACCACAGTGGCATCCCATGAAAGGGTACAAGCTCCATATATGCCAGTGCTCCATACATGGAGCATATATGCTCTGGCATATGCCCAAAATGTCTTTTTATTTCTCAATCTAAGGCTAAAAACTGAGATACAAAAGTAATTTAGCTTAATTATGAGTTTTTCTTCTATTTGTTCTACCAAGCTAAGCAAATGACCACCACCACCAAACACATTACAGGAACGCATTTCTTTCTTGATCCTCTCAACCATTTAGATACAAACACAAATAAAAATAGCAAATCCAAGCACAAAATCACTATTGCAGTCATTCTGCATTTTAAAAGGCATTTGTTCCAACAATTCACATTTTTTTCAGAGATTAACAGTGAACAGCACACACAAGAAGAACACACGCAAAATAAAATTTCCCTCCTCGTGGCCTTCTATCCTGCAGAGTACAGGATTTTTTTTTTTGTTGCAATGATGGGCAATGGCAGTGAAGGATATAAAGCATGAAGCACAATGGCTTGTTTTTTTGCAGAGATGTAATACAAGACTCTTACTATGGTTCTAGAGATTTTTTGTTTTGACTTGAATATGACATGATTCCTGCAATTAATCACTT